AAGCAGCTTAGACAGAGGGACGAGTTGCTCATTTCTGAGCTTCTCCCATGTATACATGTTATTAAACTTGGTATTATTTTCTCCTGCTAACCTGTCTTGTTGATTATTTGGCCAGCCAGAAGAACCTTAAGGGAAAGGGCAGAGGGAGATTCTCCCTCTTCCCCCGACACCCTGCACGGGGGACAGGAAATGTGCACTTATCCACACAGACACCTGGAAGCTTTTTGTTATCTAGATCTCTCTAAATTCTCAGAATTTAGAGCATGGTTATCAAGTCTGACTGCACGTTGGAATCGCCTGGAGGGCTTAAAAAATACTGATGCCTGGGTCCCAGCCTGGAGATTCTGATGTATTGGGATGAAGTTTGGGGGTTCCAGCATGCAGCCAAGATTGAAAACCCCTGGTGTAGATCAGCAATTCTCAGAATATCGTCTAAGGAACACTAGCCCTGACTGAGGTGCTGCGGTACGGGATGCCGTGGTCAAAGAGGTTTGGGGTTCATTACACACTTTCTCTCTCATGCTCTTCTCAGCCCAGGAGACTCACAGTGCACAGTTAGTATATTAAAAGCCCTGACAATTCCCATGCCGAAGACCTTGTGTAACCATTTATAATCCAGTGTTTCCTACATTCATTTGATCCAGAAACATTTTTGGGGGATGACACCTGTTATGGGTTGAATTGTGTCCCCTAAAGAGATACGTTGAAGTCCTGACCCCTAGTACCTCAGAATGTGACTGAATTTGGAAATAGCATTGTTGCAGATGTAATTAATTAGGATGAGGTCATAATGGAGTAGGGTGAGCCGTTAATCCAGTATGACTAATGTCCTTATAAGAAGAGGAAAAGGGACACAGAGACAGACATACTGGGGAGAAGGCCATGTGATGACAGAGGCAGAGACTAGAGTGATGCATTGTCTACAAGCCAAGGAAAGCCAAGGATGCTAGCAAATGCTAGAAACTAGAAGAGAGGATTCCTCTGGAAAGCGTTCCAAGGGAGCATGGCCCTGTTGACACCTTAATTTTAGACTTCTGTCCTCCAGAACTATGAGACAATAAATGTCTAAATGTCTGTTGTTTTAAGCTATACAGCTTATGGTACTTTGTTCCAGCAGCCCTAGCAAACTAATATGATGCCCATTAGCATCTCTTGGACACAGTTTGAGAAACCCCGAACTAGAATCATTCAAAGGCAACCCCTGAACGACCAAGAAGACGAAATAATTAGTCTGTAGAGGAGATTTTTTTTCCCCCGAATTCCAGGGAGTATTTGTTTTATTTCTAGGAGGAAATACATTTGAACAAACAGTCTGTGACGGTAGTGGCAATTGTATGTATGTGTCCATGTATGTATTTTTCTTATGTTTTTTACTTGCCAGGCTTGGTAACTCTTCTATGGACACAGGAAAACACAGACCTGGAGAGGTTATAGCATCACTGATAAGTGTAGGCAGGGGTTCTGGCCTTCCCCTCCTCTACAGATGACCGTTGTGGATGAACAGCTTAAACCTGGGGCACAGCTGGTGCAGGTTGAGGCGGCCGGGACTCTGACAGCAACTCCGGCTGCTCACTGCTACTTCCAAGCTCCCGTCTTTTACATTTAATGCCCAGGAAACTGAGTATTTTCATCAGCAGCAAATCAACGATCTCTCCTTCCTCCGACTGCTGCAGAGGGAGAAAGAACCAGGCGACATATATAGAACCATCCTCTTTGGGGCTTTTCTTTCTAAGGGGAAACAATGGTTCTATGGTCCAGTTTGGTCCTGCCAAAGTCACTTCACTGTTTAGAGTTGCTTTTGTTTCAGGATTCACTGCCTTCTGAGAATCCCAAGGGTGTGTGCTCCCGCCTTTATCCCCAGAGGGTTCCTTCTTCCCCTCTGATGAGAATGCCAGAATGCCCTCCACCACCCCCAACAGGGGCTGTTAGGAATTTATGTACAAAGACTCCCATGCATTGCTGCTGGGAACGTGAAATGGTGCAGCTGCTTTGGAAAACAGTTTGATGGTTTCTCAAAATTTAAACCAAAGTTACCATATGACTTGTTGAAATAAATTTCTAGGCCCAAGATGGAGCCACTCCAGCTCAGGGTGCCATGTCGGCAAACTGAAACTTAGATAACTTTTGTGTCCCTGTAAATGAGAAATGCAGTATATCCGGTCAGTCCTCAAACACCAAGCCAATTCTGGGCTCTATACTTTTTTCCTTCTCACCCCAAAG